CCACCCCCGGCTCTGCCCGGGCTGCAGGCTCTCACCTGGGCACAGGCTCAGAGCATCGGGGCCTGGGCATTGCGAGGCGGGGGGTCCCCAGGCACAGAGGGGACTGGCCGGCCTGGTGCAGCAGCTCATCAGCAGGCAGCTGCCAGAGTCCCCTGGGGGAGAAGCGGGTGCCAAGGGCAGGACCAGGGCAGGACCATGCCAGCCGTTGGAGGTGACGTTTGAAATCTGGAACGCCCCGCTCACCCTGTCCTGCTGGATCATCTTGACAGCGGGAAGAGAGGAACGCCCAGGGTTTGAATCTCGTCCTTCAGAGAGCTGGATCCACAGGGTTTCTTCCCAGCGCTAAGCCCTCAGAGCTGAGTCCCCAGAGCCTTCTTGAGGACTGTAACCTCCTCAACCTGGTCTCTAAGACCCTTTGGGATGCCGCCCCTGATTCAGGCCCCCGTCCCCTGGTCCCTCTGCTCTGTCCTCACAGCCTGCCTGGTGCCGTTTGCCCTGCCCCACGTGCACTCTGTTCCCCGCCCGGCCCTTCTTCCTCAATCTGCGGCTCCTCTGGCCCCTGTGCAGTCCATGTATGTGTCTGTCCCCAGTGCCCTCCCTCAGCTCTAGGGGTGAGGACCCTGTGCAACACGTTGGCACCTGCCGCCTGCAGCAGGCACGCCCCGGCACAGGGCGCCATGAGTGTCAGAGGCAGGAACAAGGGACGTTCCCACCGATGCCCACAGCACCAGGGCCCAGCCTGGGTTCCTTGACTGAGAAGAGACCTCAGCCAGGGCCCCACAGAGGGCCCAGCTGGCCTGGGAATCCCGGCCCTGGCTGAGCCACGTTGGGGGGCAGTTTGGAGGGGCGACGGGGGACCCCAGCCCCTGCCCTGCCAGGCTGCCTCTCAGGCCTGGTCCTCAGGGCTCTCCTCCCGCCGGCCACGGCACGTGTGACCTCCGTTGACCTTCCTCGGGCCTCCTGTGACAGCCGTTGACAGGCCTTGTTTGCCAAGCCCGGGGAGGGACGGTGGTGGTTCCAGTGGGGCTGCCCCTCGTCCATCCAGGGTGCTGGTGATCTAGCCTCTGGGGCAGAGAACAAAGTCCCCGCGAGCTGTCTGTCCCTGTCACCGTGCCCGCTGGCGGAGGTGAGGGCGGGCTGGCCGGCTTCAAACCCACCAATGAGCAGCTCCTCCTGCTACCCGAGGCTCCCCCTTCTGGCCCCGGGGTGGCGGGAAGCCTGGCCAGTCTCCAGGAGGCCACGCGCCCCACTCCACGCACACGCAAGCTGCTGCCCGCGGTGCAGTGTCACTTTGCACTTGGGCTTGGACAGGTGTCCTGGAGCCGGAGACTGTCATCCAAGGTCGGCAGCCCAAGGATGGAAGTCCCTGGGCTCCAGGAAGCCCCCTGAAGTGTGTGGTCGCTGCCTGGGGTGGGCACGTTTCTGGCTTTCATGCTCCTGACGGGTCTAGCAGCCTCCGCGCCACCTTAACCCCGAGGTCACACGCAGCTGCCCTGTGGGAGCAGGGACGGTGCTGCCCGCAGGGCCTTGGAGAGCGAAGGTGGGAGAAGCCTCTGCAGGACAGTCCCCCAGAGGGAGGCCTCCCACACACAGGAGGAGCTCAGCAGAGCCCGGCAGGGACAGAGGGACCCTCTCCCAGGTGCCGGTTCCCTTTCCGGGGGATCTTCCGGGGGATCCTGCCTCAGCCAGGAGCACGGCTGCCCAGCGCCAGCTCACGGGACACATCCCAGTTGTGGCCAGAGAAGCCAAGGCTGCTGCTTCTGCCGTCCTGGCAGCAAATGCCACCTCCCTGGGCTCTTTTTAGATCAAAGGAAGGGCAGGCTGGAGGAACGAGTGTGGCAATCAGCCCACAATGCCATTCAGAGGCCGCCCGGATGACCTAAAATAGGCCTTGCCCTTGGACAGCAGGGGAGCAGCCCAGGGTTGGGAGGGGCCTCCTGACCGAGGTCAAGGCCTCCTGGCTGAGGTCAAAAGCCCCCACTAGAGAAACCTTTCAGAATGTGTCTCCCCAGCGCCCACAGCTAGGCGTCTGTGACCCAGGAACAAACCTTTCCTAGTCAGAGGTGGTTAGAGGAAGGGACCCGAGATTTAATGAGCATCTAGTATGTGCGGCACACTTTGTATCTGATGGGTTTGCCCCATGTCACCCTCCCAGTGATCTTGCAGGGTAGGGATGACCTTCACTAGTTTTCTAGGTCCACTTGAGGCCCAGAGAACTTAAGCATGAACCTCGAGATCACACAGTGGGTAAACAACAACCCAAACTGCAGCCTGGTCCGTCTGACTTCAAGTCCTCTTCAGCTGAAATCCAGCAACAAAACCCAGGAGGGGGGGGGGCAGGGGCTCAGCCACCGCTTTGACGTTGGCCATCGGATGCTGACTGTGCGCCAGGCCTCCCGGGGTGGTCCTGTGCTCTGTCGCCCCTGCCAGCAGCCTGAGATGGATCTGAGGTCACACTCCACTCACAGACGACAGAGTTGCAGCTTTGGGAGGGCAGGTGGCTTCTCGGGGGCCCTCAGACAACTCAGCATCCCAGCCCAGAACCCCAGCAGTTCTGGTGGCCAGTCTTCAGAAGGATCTGCAAGGACTGACCCAGCGGCCTCCTCCCTGACGTCCACAGCCACGTCCCACCCACCCCACCCCCGCCACTCATCTGGAGCCAGGGGACTGTCCCTCTGACTAAGTGCAGGCACCCACCTGGGTGGGGCTGCAGCAGCGTAGGCAACGAGAGCTGACCTGGGGCTGTCCCCTCTGCTGACCCAAAGTGTGGCTGCAGAGGTCTCTGCTGGGCCTGCCCCAGGGGACCCTTCCCTGGCTTGTTCTTGCAGTCCCCACTTCTGATTCCTGGCTGGAGGAGGGGAGGAGGGGCTCTTACTCTAAGGCAGGACGAGGGTGGCCAGATGGGGGCTAGTGGACATGCCAAGAGGGGCAGCATGTCTTGAAGGCAGCAGAGACTTGGAGGTTCTCGTTAGTTTTTCCAGAGAAACTAAAACCAGTGTACTTGCTCTGGACATTCAAGCTTAGAAGACGCGACTTTCCCGGGGTCGGGACGGAGTCGGCCGAACCGTGCAGCCCTGGTAGTGTGTGGGTGAGGGAAGATGGGTCGGCAGGGTGTCCTCTCCCCTGACTTCCTATCATGGGGTGTCCCGATGATTGTGGCAACTTAAGTGATGAAGTTCAGGCTTCCTGGGGACACCCCTGTCCCTGGGTGGTCCACTGGCCCTGAGTCCACCGCCACGATTCTCTGTTCCTTGTAAGAACCTCTTTCCCTGGACCCAGCCTAGAGCGGGAGTGGGTGAGCCCCCCAGGGGTGGCCTGTGGCTTAGGGGGTAGAGCCCCGGGTGGGGGATGGAGTGCTTCCCCATCCCTCGAGGCCGGGCCCTGGATGCTGCAAGGCTCATCCCCACAGATGGCCGGGGCTGCAAGGAACGGCCCCCCAGGACCAGGTGGGTGGTGCATCCCACCCCGAGGGGGCCGAGGTCGCCTGTCTGCTGAGAGGACTCTGCAAGGGCCCCTCCAGCTGCTGGGGAGAGAGCTCTGCGGGGAGGACGAGCTGGAGAGCTGACGGAGGAGGGAGGGAGACGGCCCTGGCACAGGTCACCGCTGCCCTGGGGATGAGGGCTTTGATCTGTGCTTGTGATGGAGGTGTCCCTGGAGCACTTGGCAGCCGGAGGGGACCTTGGCCTACTGGCACCAGAGGAGGCCAAGCCCAGAAGCTGAGGCTCGTGCAAGGCCATGGGCATGGAGGACGCGGGCCTGGCGGTCTGCACTGCCCCTGCGGGTGACCAGCGCATGTGGTCTGCTTGCCTGGGCTTTGTACCCTGGACAGTATCTCCCGCCAGCTGTTGCGCTTCTCCCGCGGCTCTGGAAGTGGCCTGCGGCTGACTCTGGGCCTCCTGCCTGGCAGTGCTGCTTCGTCTCCCTGGGGCCTCTGCTCACAAGCCCCCAAGAGAGGCCTCCTGAGACCATGGGGAACGCCACCCCGCCCGCTCCCAGGCTGCCTCTCCCTGTGCTGCATCCACCGGGCAGGGCCCTCTGCCCCATTGGAGTGGGGACCAGACTTGGGCTGCAGTGTCCAGCACGCACTGGCCCTTGCTCCTGTCTGTTAAATGGCTGACGTCCCTGGAGCTCTTTCTAGTGCGGGTCCTTGGCTTTGGCCCTTGGCCTCCTTGTCTCTGGGCAGTGGCTCTGTGTGGACAGGGTCTCCAGCTTCCCACCTCAGCCTGTGGCTTCCTTCTCCCTGGGCCCATTGTCCCCATCCCTCCCTCCCACCAGCCTCAGGACTAACTGAACCCGAGGTTCCCTCAGCACAGTGCTGGCCATGGCTCGGGGTGGGAGGAGCGGTCCACAGGGGCTTCTCCTTCTTGGGGGCTGCCACTCTCCCATTGCCTGCTTCAGGCTCCCTGCGACTGCTGTAGGGAGAGGGCAGCAGAGATGGACCGCCCACCTGCCACTCCCAGGAACCGCCCCTGGGAGGAGGAGCAGGGGGATGACCACACCCACTCAGTCCAGGTCATCTGGTTTCCTGATCAGTGGCCAGATCTCTTGAAAGGAGGCCACCCAGGTCTCCCTTCAAAGCAGGGTTCCTTAGAAAGGAGTCCCAGAGGCACACGTTCCAGAAACCCAACTTGCTCACTATGCCTCCATTTTCTGTGGGTAAGGAGAGGGAAAGTCCCAGAATCCTGGCAAAAATTTACTTTGGAACTTGTGACACTGTCAGGTCATTAGTCCTAGTCCACAAAGTGTGTAATTCATGCCAAGTCATATTTAGGGACTTCATCCACATCATCTTTCAGCAGCGTATGAACCATACAGGAAGGTTTGCTCGCCTTGTGAAACCGCAAGGTGACTGCTGAGGCAGAGATGGAGGGTGGTGGCCCTTGGGTCCAGTCTGCCACCCCCTAAAGTTCATCAACGACCGTCTAATACACAATTTTAAAGGAAACTGCCTGGGAGACGAAGGGTCTCAGGGCCTAACGTCCCGTCCTGTCTCTCTGCAGACCCCAGCCCTCCGGCGCGCATGCTGGCCACCCGGCCGTGCTGTGGCCCCGGCCCCGAGCGGCGCGCGGTCCTGGGCGAGGCGCCGCGCTTCCACGCGCAGGCCAAGGGCAAGAACGTGCGGCTGGACGGTCACTCGCGACGGGCTACGCGGCGCAACAGCTTCTGCAACGGCGTCACCTTCACGCAGCGGCCCATCCGGCTGTACGAGCAGGTGCGGCTGCGCCTGGTGGCCGTGCGCCCAGGCTGGAGCGGTGCGCTGCGCTTCGGCTTCACGGCGCACGACCCGTCGCTCATGAGCGTGCAGGACATCCCCAAGTACGCCTGCCCCGACCTGGTCACGCGGCCCGGCTACTGGGCCAAGGCGCTGCCCGAGAACCTGGCGCTGCGCGACACCGTGCTGGCCTACTGGGCCGACCGCCACGGCCGCGTCTTCTACAGCGTCAACGACGGCGAGCCCGTGCTGTTCCACTGCGGCGTGGCAGTGGGAGGCCCGCTCTGGGCGCTCATCGACGTCTACGGCATCACCGACGAGGTGCAGCTGCTCGGTAGGTGGCGCCCGGGAAGGGGACACCGGCGGCACCCAGGCGGGACAGGCGCCTCCTTTCAGCTCATTCATTCTCCCCAGCTCAGTCGCGGGGTTGGGGGTTCAGGGTCCGTGCCCCGCGCCTGGCCAGGTCCCTCCCCTGCCTCCTCTCCGTGACCTGCTGCGCACTCGTCATCTATACCCATCCATCGGTTCCCATCCGTTCAGCCCTTGGTTCCTGTTCCCTGGCGCATTCCTCACGCACCCAGCGGACGCACTTCCGCCCCAGGAGCTCTAGGTCCATCCAAGCTGGCAGGCATGAGTCCTCGGATGCACCCAGGCCCACGGGTCACACTACCGGCCTGCGGGTCACATAACAGGAAAGTAACCATTTGTAAGTGTCCAATTGAGTGGCCTTCAATTAGCAAGCATTGTTTTACTTCCAAAACATCTGATTATTCCAAAGAGACAGCCATAACCCGGAGGCAGCCACTCCCTGATCCCTCTGGCAGCCCCTGACAGTCTCCCCTTGGCCTGTGAACCTGCAGGCTGCTCTGAAACCTGGCAGCCTTGATCTCTGGGGAGGTGCCAGAGAGCAGGTATGGGGGGTCTGGACTCAGCCCTCTGTTTCACTTCCCTGTGACGCAGTGCAGAGACACACCTAAAGGTGGCTGGGTTTGGACGATTGTCCTTGAGCCCAGAAGTCCCCACCTGCCCTGAGTGAGCCCCTTCCTCCCCAGTGGCAGCAACTGTTCCTGTCTGTCACCATGGATTAGTCTGGCCTGTTACTGAACTCAGTGTAAATGGAACCCACAGTCTGGGGGGGGGGGCTTATCTCAGCCTAGTGTTTTTAAGATCCATCCTGCGGTTGCTGTGTGTATCTGCAGTTTGTTTGTTCCTTTTCATGGCTGAGAAGAACCCATAGTGCAGAATACGCAGCTTGCATATCTGAACGCTGGGGCTGTGTCCGGTTGTCCAGCATGTATCTTGAGGGAAAACCTCCTTGCCCGCCATCCCCACCCTTGGGCATAGAGAGAAGACCCATGCACCCAGCCTCAGACCCCCTGTTTCCCCTAAAAGGAAGAGGGCCACAGAACTTCGGAGTGGTTCAGAGCAGGCAGGGCCTGGGGAGTCTCAGAGGCCTCTGTTCTAGTCCTGGCTCCCCCCTGGGAGCTTTGTGACCTTGGCCAAGTGACTGGAGCTCTCTGTATCTTAGTTTTTTTCTTCTAACATGGGTTCATGACGATACTGCCTTGGGGATTGTTGGCAGGATTACATGAGATGACACATGAAGGGGTACAGCCCCACATCTAGCACCTGGGAAGCCCTCAAAAAATAACAGCTAAGGAGAAAAAAAAAAAAAGAAAAAAGCCGGGCCCAGTGGCCATGCCTATAGTCCAGCAGCTGGGGAGGCTGAGGCAAGAGGATTGCAATTTCAAAGCCAGCCTTAGCAATTTAGCAAGCCCCTAAGCAACTTACCGAGGCCCTGTCTCTAGAAAAAAATACAAAAAGGCCTGGGAATGTGGCTCAGTGGTTAAGTGCCCTTGAGTTCAATCCCTGATCCCAAAAAGAAAAGAATTAACAGCTAAGTAAGAATCGCTACCTGGTCGCAAGTGGCCCAGAACACAGGTCTAGATTCCAGGCTCTGCAGATGGGATTGCAAAGAGCCGCCCCCTCCCCTTACCTGGCATTTCCCCCATATGCCCACTTCCCATGGAAGCTTTTGGTATTTCAACTCAGAAAGCACAGGTCTCTGAAACCTTCTAGACCCCACGTCTAGAGTCGGAGCTCCTCATTCCTGCAGAGCAGGGAAGCAGTCCTGCTGTACCCGCCTCCTTATCCGCAGCCCAAGTTTCCAGGTAACACCCGGAACTCACAGCCCTGGTATGGCTTAGCATCTCCAAAACAAACTGGATGCAGCCTTTGAGGACTTAATGAGACTGACTATACCTGGGAAGCACATGGACTGTCCCCAAAGCCTGGGGATGTAGCTCAGTGGAAAAGTGCGTGCCAAGCATGCTCAAGGCCCGGGTGCAGCCCGGCATCCCCACCCCCACAGTAAACCTTCGTAGAACCCCACAGTGTCCTTCCTGTGTCCCTTAGAAGAAGGAGAGGGGGCAGAGTCCACATGTCTGTAGCGTGGCATGCATGGGCCTCGGTTTCCTTATCTGCAGGTTGTCCCTGAGCTGCCCTAATTAATGGGAGAAACCTGGCACAGGTGCTGCAGGACAATGATCCCAAAAATAAGTAATAAGGGGAGTTGAAATCAGAAGGAATTCCGTCTCTGGGTCAGGGGATCATGGGTGACTTTCACTTCCTTACATTTAACAGATACCTTTAAAAAAAGGGGGGGGTCATAATGCTTTACAATCAGAAAGGGCAATAAAATTATTTTCCTCTCCAAAGATTATAAAAGATGATTTAGGGAAAGCTTTTGGCATGTGATTGAGGCTCATAAATGTTGTTTCCTTCCCAGGAGAAAAGCAGGTCACCATTGGTCACACCTGGGTGAAGGCATGAGGCCCACCCTTCTCATTACAGTGATTTGTAATCAGGGGAAGTTATAATAAAAATCAGAAGTGCCGGGTGCAGTGGCGCACACCTGTGATCCCAGTGGCTTGGGAGGCTGAGGCAGGAGGATCACGAGTTCAAAGCCAACCTCAGCTAAGCAACTCGGTGAGACCCTGTCTATAAATATAATACAAAATAGGGCTGGGGACGTGGCTGAGTTGTCCAGTGCCCCTGAGTTCAATCCCCGGTACCCTCCCCCACCAAAAAAATTAACTAATGAGAAGAAAGCTAGGCGGGCACCAAGTCCCCCCCTGCTGGCAGGTGCCATCAGGCACCTGATAGAGCAACCTGAGAACCTCAGAAATCGCCCGCTTCCTGGGGGAACTTGGCTTCCCAGGGTGGTGTCTGGGCATCAGATGGGCCCACACAGGGCAGGCAGTGTCCAGAGTACCGTGGGCTCCTGTGCGTCACAAGGAGCCAGGAGTGGTGTGTTCCTTTAGAGGGTCTCCCTGAGACACCGGGAGCAGAAAACCCTGGATGCTCCCCACCCCTTCTCAGCCCCTGCTGGATAAAGCCTGAAAACCAAGACCCAAAAATGGCATCTGGGTACAGTTGTCAAATTTAGCAAATAAAAATACGGAACACCCAGTTAAATTTGAATTTAAGATAAACAATGAAAAATTTTTAGTACAAGTATGTCCCGTGCAGTTCTTGGAACATGCTCGAGGCCCCGGGGGGCGGGGGTGTTTATCTGAAATTCCAGCATTCCGGGCACCACCTGGCATCCCTTCTCTGGGAACCCTTCTCATGGAGTGGGGGTGCACTTAAATTGCCCCAGAATTGAACCAAATCAAATCTCAGAAATCCCATGATCCCTGCTTGGGGCTCCCCTGCCCAGGTCCAGCTGTGGCAGAGTGCTGCATTTTGGGCCCGGCCCTGGGCACCCTGTCGAGGTGAAAGCCCTAGGGTTCTGAAGAGGAAACTGAGCAGTCTACAAGCACCCCGCTTGCCCGTGGCAGGGCCACCGTAGGAGCCAGGGGTGCCTGTGTTCAGTGATCTCAGCCTGCGCTGCACCTTGGGACCCCTGGGAAGCTCTGAGTGCCCTTTCCTAGGCTGCACCCAACCAAGAAAGTCAGAACCCAGGGGGAGGCTCCCTGGCATCTGGATCTCCTGAGGCCCCTCAGGGTCCCCGAGGTACGGCCAGGATGGTGACCCCAAGGAGCCCCTTGCCCGTGCGCCCTCCCCTCAGCACTAGCTGAGTTCCTCGGACTCCTCGTCCAGGACACGGCGTGGTCATTGCACCCTGCAAGCTGGCGATCCCATTGCCCAGATGTGGGACTCCTTCTATCTCCCCCATTACACAGTCACGTGGCCATCATCCTGTGGCTTCTGTGGCCCCTGCACCAGGCACTTACCATCAATTAGCTCCTCTCGGAACAACTTGCAGAGAAGGAACTGAGGCTCATATTTGCTAGTCTGTATCCCCACAGACTTCCCCCCAAAGGGCACAGGGTTGGCTGAACAGCAAGGGTAGGACCTCACCTCAGCCATCCTATCACCGTGGGCACAGGTGACCTATGCCCACTTCTTGGGGGCTCCTGAGCCTCCTGGGCCTCTGGTTTCCTCCCACCTGTGTGCAGTCTCGCCCTGCCTGTCCTCCGTGCATGGAGAGCCCTGGGATTCTAGCCTAGGGCCCCTGTCTTGTTTTTCCTTTCTTCAGTCGTCTAACACACGTGCACACGGAAACAACATGCACATAGACTTGAGGCAGCTGGCATGAGGCAGGGGTGTGTCTCCTCGCCTGCCCTCTCTCCAGGCCACCTGAACTGTCGGCAGGCCTTGAGAGCCACTGAAGCCGTCAGTTCTACATTAGTCTGTTTCTCATTGCCACACCCAAACACCTGAGGGTGGGTGCTTTGTAATGAAAAGAGGCTTATTTGTCTCATAGTTTGGGAGGCTGAAATCCAAGATTGGGTGGCCTCCTTGATTTGGTCTGATGAGCGACTTGTGGCAGGTGACATCCACAATGATGGGAGCCTGTGCAGAAAAGATCACCTGATGAGACAGGAAGCCAGAGGTCCTCGGGGGTCAGGCTGGCTGTTTAAAACAACCCACTCTCTCAGGAACTGAATCCCTCTGCAAGATCAAGGGCAGCGCCCTCCGTGATCTCCCACTAATCCCCACCCTCAGAAGTCCCACCGCCTCATAATACTGCCACTTGGAGACCAAGTATCCAACACAGGAATCCTTGGGGGACAAACCGTGTGCAGCCTGTGGCCACTTCCAAGTGCACACCCCAGCCAGAGCCGCAGCCCACCCTCCACCTGCCCTGCCTGTCCCAGCAGCCCTGAGGGAGCTCTGGACCCCACACCTGCCCTGTCACCAGCCAGTGGCACTGCCCACTTGATGGGCCAGTCCCAGCACCTCATGCCCACTCTGCCAGCCATTCTCACCTTTCTGCACCAGGGCGTGACCTGAATGAGAGGCCGGGAAGCACGGCCGGGTCCCCTGGTCTGCAGCTCGGCCTCCCTCTCCGTCTTCACAGAGGGGGATTCTCTGGGGACGTGAATTCTGCGGTCCTTCCAGCCCAGACACAGTTGACTAAGAGACGGGGGAGGGGAGGAAGAGGAGCCGGCTCATCCCAGGCCCTCGGCCAGGCCCCAGAGGATGCCCAGCGGAGCGCTGTGGACCTGTCCCAGCCCCCTGGCCTCCCAGCTCCTGGCCTGGGCACGGCGGCCCTGTGTGGTGCTCATGGGCACCCATGGGAGGGAGGGCCACCTGTGAGACCCTCTCAGGGGCCACCCCAAGGAGGCCGGTTGGCCTGAGGCTGAGCCCAGGCTCTGGGCAGCTCTAAGCTGAGGGGAGCCAGCCACATGGTAGTGTGGGGCCTGGCTTTGGAGTCCCGCAGCCTGGGGTGGCGTCCCATTTCTGTCACCCCTTGGCTGTGAGACCTTGAGTAACTCTCCACCTTTCAGAGCCTCAGTGTCCCTCTCTGTGAAGTGGAGGTGAGGACGGCGAGGGGGTCATCCGAGTGTGTGGCTGCATGTCTTAGGAGCTGGAGAAAATGTGTGTGTGTGTCCACCTGCTCCAGAGGGCCTGGAGGGGACCTCAGGTTGCAGGCTGGATAGCCGCTGGAGATCCCCGGGGCTGGCGGGTTCTCCATAATGAACCTTCAAAAGGCAGATCTGATGTGCCAGCCCTCAGCCAGCACTGTGTGTCTTGGGCCACCTCAACAGGGACAGTGGCCATGGGCACAGAGCTGTGTGTGTGGACATGAAATGAGGGATGCAGCCTTCTCCAAGGGCCACAGTGTACCAGGTCCCGCCTTGGCACTGTCACATAGGTGGTGACCCAGCCTCACAAACACCAGGCTCCCGGGGCCTCAGGCTCTGCCTGTGCTGTTCCTGGTATGCTTGGCCACTCTTGACCACCTCCGCCTGTGGGCTCCAGGTGGCCGCCCTTCCCGCTGTCAGAGAGGCCCCCTCCCAGGCCCCACCCCTGAGCTAGTCCCCCGTGCACAGCCTCAGAGAACCCAGCCCTGTCGCTCCCTGGCTGTGGCCTTGAGTGACCCACTGCACCTCTCAAGAGTTGTTCCCCTTTGAAGTGTGCCCAACTTACAGAGCCACATGGGATGGTAGCTTTTGGTGACACTTCATCAGTTTTCTGCAAGACGGCCTCACTGGAGGTTGCCTTTCCCGCTGCATGGGCCCTCCATGGATACAGGAGCCCATCTGCTGGCTCACCTCTGTCCACCCACTGGCCAGCAGCACCTGGCATATGGCCAGTGCTTCGGTGTTTGTTGAACCAGTGGAGGAAGGACGGTCAGAACTCCCGTGTCCAGAGCACCCGGCACAATGCCCTGTGTTAAGGAGAGTGGTTCCATCACACTGGGGTCAGGGAGGTGACCACTGCTACTCCATTATAGCTAAGGAAGCTGAGGGGGACTGACAGACAGGAAGGGCCACGGCAGGACTTGAACCTGAGTCTGCCGGAGACATGGGCCGTGCTGAGGGAGGCTGCTCTGGAGCCCGGGCTCCTGTCGGGGCCATGGGGGCAAGAAGGGGTGTGGAGGGGGAGCAGAGGCAGAGAGGTGGCAAGAGCAGGGCCCAGGCGGAGCAGGGGACAATGTGAGGGGACGGGAGTTCCCGGGAGAGGGCCCTAAGAGGCTCCCAGAAACAGCCCCTGTCTAAAATGGCTTTTCAAAAAGAGTGCTTGTTTTATTCTTCAGTACTTTTTTTTTCCTGATTAGAAAAATCAATATCTATCTGAGAAAACCAGAAAAGCATAAAGAAGGAAATTTCCACCCAGAGAGGCAACCCGGGTTGGATTTCCTTCCTGTACTGACTTCCCCTCTGCACCCTTGCACAGAATCCGAATCCGACCTTGCATTCAGTCTTGACCCCTTTGGTCACTTTGTGTTACGTCACAGGCGTTTTCCTACTTTGTTAATTGAAAACTTTAACAAAATATTGGTGTTTTCTGATAAAAATCTGCCTGACATGTTTATTAAGATAGAAAAAACCTAAAGAAAGCTCCTCCGTAATCTCACCATTGCCACTGACCTCCTCTTACCCTTCTTCCCTGAACTTGGCTTCCTATGCACATTCGTTAAAATGACACGATAGACACAGACGTACTTCAAGAGAACTAGACGGACTTCCTCCCCCAGGATTCTGGCACCCTCTAAGTCAGGGGGCACAGTGAGCCCAGGCAGGAGCCCACAGTGGGGAAATGACCACCCTGGGTCCCCAGGGCAGCAGGCAGGGATCACACCAGCCCACTGCCACCATGCCAGCAGGGCCTGGTTAGCCACCTCCTGATTTTCTGAAAGAAACTGTGGACCCCCGTTAAGTGGAAGGCGTGTGGGGCAACCATCAGATCCCCCCCGCCAGGGCCTGGGGCGTCCGGAGCTTGTCAGACCATGTTCATTATTGAGGTTTTGTTGTATGTTGGAAAACTGAAGAGGAAGAAATTCTTTTTCCATGATACAAACTGCAGAATGGGAACATTGAACAAAATCTCTGCTGGAGGGGTGGGTGTCAAAAGTATTAGAAAACACTTTTTATTTATCATGGTTAGCAATGTCATGAAAAGGTTTTCAAAATTTATTGAGTGCCATTTCTTTCCCGGATGTCGATGTCATTCTGTGGGACAGGCAGTGTCTTCTACAGACCTCACCCAGTAAACTATTATTACAGAAGCTTCTCCCCAGGCAGCAGCAGCCCTGACAACTAGTGGACAGACTGGCAGAGACCCTAGCCCAGGGACACCCATTCTATTAGGGAGTCAGAAAATACAGACGCAGCGGAGCCAACTGTGGAGACCTGTATTACCTAGATGGTAATATTTTTATTTTGCTTTTTCACTTAACGTGTCCAGAACATTTTTTCACACCATTAAAAATTTATTCAAAAATATTTGTTTAAAAACCTTTTATGGAAGGAGTCCATCTCTTGGGAAGACCTTACTCATTCCAGTTTGGGAGACTGGCCCAGCACCTTCACTCAGGTAGCACCCATGGCAGAGCCTAGCCCTGGAGCCAGGCGCAGGAGAGGGGCCGACGCCCTCCTGGGCTGCCCAACCCTCTGCCTCAGAAGGGCTGTGAGGACTCAAGGAGATAACAAGTGAAAGGGGCTCAGACTAGCACCTGTCGCGTGTCACATGCTAGGGTTGCAAATAAGGGGGCTGCTCTGTTCATTGGGACTGTGTTCTGGTGGAGGCAGGCAATGGGGGACTTTGAGAGTCCTCTGAACGCCCAGATGTATGGAAAGCTCTGGGGGGAGAGGGGAGATGCGAAGGAAGGACGGGAAAGGGAGGGAGGGAAAGGAAGAGGAAAGGGGGACGAGAGGAGGGGACATGAGGAGAGGTGACAGAGGAAAGAGGAGGGGGCAGGGGGAAGAGGAAGGAGAGATGGGAGGGAGGGAAGGGGCAGGGCGAGGAGAGGGCGGGATGCCCTGCAGAGGTGGCAGTTCCCCCCCCCCCCCCCGCTGCAGGACGGGCGCGGGGTCCTCACCACCCTCCTGTGTCCCCGCAGAGAGCGCCTTCGCGGACACGCTGACTCCGGCGCGCCTGGGCCAGGCCCGCTTCAGCGCCTGCCTGCCGCCCAGCAGCCACGACGCGGCCAACTTCGACAACAACGAGCTGGAGAACAGCCAGGTGGTGGCCAAGCTGGGCCACCTGGCGCTGGGCCGCGCCCCGGGCCCGCCCGCTGACGCCGTGGCCGCCATCCCCTGCGGGCCCCGCGACCGCCCGCGGCCCTCGTCGTCGCCGGCGCTGCTGGAGGCGGACCTGCGCTTCCACGCGACGCGCGGGCCCGACGTGAGCCTCTCGGCCGACCGCAAGGTGGCCTGCGCGCCACGGCCCGACGGCGGCCGCACGCTGGTCTTCTCGGAGCGCCCGCTGCGGCCGGGCGAGAGCCTGCTGGTGGAGGTGGGCCGGCCAGGGCTGGCGGCACCCGGCGCGCTGGCCTTCGGCATCACCTCGTGCGACCCGAGCGCGCTGCGGCCCGCCGAGCTGCCCGCCGACCCCGACGCGCTGCTGGACCGCAAGGAGTACTGGGTGGTGGCGCGCGCCGGGCCCGTGCCCAGCGGCGGCGACGTGCTCAGCTTCACGCTGCGGCCCGGCGGCGACGTGCTGCTGGGCATCAACGGGCGCCCGCGCGGCCGCCTGCTGTGCGTGGACACTACGCAGCCGCTCTGGGCCTTCTTCGCCGTGCGTGGAGGCGCTGCCGGCCAGCTGCGCCTGCTCGGTGAGTGTCCCCGCGGCGTCCCTGCGCGCTGCTGCCCCGGACCACGCGTCCTGAACCAGCCTGCTGGACAGGTGACGGCCCCGCGCTGGGCAGGCTGTATGCAGTCAGTAAATGGCCAGCACGGTTTTTATTGAGGCTGTCGATTTACTATTGGGGGATTTTTTAAGAACATGAAGGATTCTTTTTTTTGTTTGTTTGTTTTTGGTTTTTTGGAACCAGGGATTGAACTCAGGAGAACTCGACCACTGACCCACATCCCCAACCCTATTTTGTATTTTATTTAGAGACAGGGTCTCACTGAGTTGCTTAGCTCCTCACTTTTGCTGAGGCTGGCTTTGAACTCGAGATCCTCCTGCCTCAGCTTCCTCAGTTGCTGGGATGACAGGCATGTGCCTCCGTGCCTGACTCACATGCAGCATATGAAGTGTAGGGGGAAAAGTCATTTCAATGACATGGAAAAGGGAACAAGAACGACACTGTCCACAGAGAGTGGGTGGAGGCTTGACCGACCTTGTTTCCAGGTGGGTCTTGCATTGCTCATGCAGTGCATAGACACGAAGAACCATCACGCCGGGGCAGGCCCCTGGCTGCAGAACACCACCCACAGAACACAGGAGGCACACTACACCCGGGAGGGGCTCCCAGACACGGAGACAGCCACCCACATTAGTGTGCTGCAGCAGGGGGCACCTGCCAGCTTGGCAGAGTGAGGTGGTGGTCAGGGAAGGCTGCCCAGAGAGCAGAGCTCCACTCTCAGGTCCAAGCTTGGCAGAAGCAGTGGACAGCTCCCGATTCTCCCAGTGACCCTGTGAAATTGGTATCACGGTCCCCATCTACAGACAAGAGAGTTGGAGCCCAGGGAAATTAAATGACAGGCCCAGAGCTGGTCAGCCATGAAGATGGTGGGCCAATTTCCAACTCTCCTGAGCCTCCTTTCCTTCTGTGTGGGGAGCTGTGCCTGTGGCAGGGTTGCCATGCGGTGGGAGGCAGTGCCAGCAGGGGTCCACACAGACCCTTAGCTCTTGCAGTAGTAACGCTGGCATCGGGATGAGGGTGGGGGTAGGCTGTTTGTTGGGGTGATTATTAGGTCTTTTGTTTATTGTTTGAGGAGCATCAGACATCCCCAGGCTGAGATGTGTTGCCCAAGTTCCTGCTTAGACTTGCAAAAGCTGAGCCTTGAACCTTCACCCACTCCAGGACCTCCCAAGCAATCAGCAGGAGCCCTGAGGGTCAGGCAGAGAGAATAGAAGGGAAGGGACTCCTAGCAGCCAGGGACTTGTCCCTGATCCCTACCTTAGTGCAACTCTAGCACTGCATTATCTAAACTCCCCTCTTCAAGAGAGGGAAGGAGCAGCTCTCTGCATCCTAAGAAATGGCCTATTATCTAAATCAGCAGCAGGTATAGGGGGAAAACTCTTCCATGTTGACCACACTAGCAGTCAGGGATCTTGTAACTGCAAGTGACAAACCCCATTACAAGTATCCTAAGCAAAAAGGGAAATTTGTGGGCACACATAGCTCAGAAGTCAGGGAGTATGTTAAGTAGATTCAGGAACAGCTGGATCTAGGTGTTGAAGCGATGTCAGCAGAATCCCCTCCTAGTGTCCGGTCCTTGCCACTTACCTCTCCATGGAACGAGCTCTTCTTTCCTATCAGGTGGGCCCCAGAGCCTGCCTTGATTTCCAAGTCCTTCCCTGAAGCACCACTCGGATCAAGGGCAGAAGCTCCTTTTGCCCTGACCTGGATGTGTGCCAGGGTGTCAGTGCCCAGAGAACACCCAGGGCTGTTTCTGAAACAGAAGGCAGGGAGCCAGGTTCCCCCACACCTGTGGCCCCTGGACCTCAGCAGGGCCCTGGGAGTAGTCCTCATCCTGTGATGAGGAGAAGTGTCGGGTGTGTCCTGTGGCCCCTCATGCAGTCTCTTTGGGTCTCAGGTACCCTGCAGTCCAGCCCTGCCACCACGACGCCCTCAGGGTCCTTCAGCGGCTCCCAGGATGACAGCGATTCAGACGTGACCTTCAGTGTCAACCAGTCATCCTCATCAGAGTCCTCCCTGGGTAAGGATGTGCAGACCCCAGCAGGGCTGGGCGGGGGTCCGCCTGGCTCCCTGGGCCTCCCCCACCCACTCTCACCCTGGCTGCGCTTCCCGGGGAGGGTCAGGCTGCACAGATGCAGCACCCGCGGGTGCTGCCGGCTGCACCTCTTCTTGAGGCTTGGGGGGTGGAAGGGGAGGAAAGGTGCCCAACCCCCCTGCCCACCAAGGTGGGTTTCCAGGGGCTCCCGCGGCTCTGCGGCTTGCCTGGCAGAGCGGGCCTGAGAGCCACATGGCTGAGTCCTCTTCTCCCCTTGGCAGTGACCGCCCCCAGCTCCCCACTGAGTCCCCCGGTGTCCCCAGGGCTCTCCCCGCCCGAGCTGGCAGGCAGCAGGAACGGCGAGTGCACCGTGTGCTTCGATGGCGAGGTGGACACAGTCATCTACACGTGCGGACACATGTGCCTGTGCCATGGCTGTGGCCTGCGGCTCAAGAGGCAGCCCCGGGCCTGCTGCCCCATCTGCCGGAGGCCCATCAAAGACGTCATCAAGATCTACAGGCCGTAGTGGCCAGCGAGCCCTGGCCAGAGCAGTCACCATCCTGCAGCCCCACTGGGCTGGGCAGCCACCTGGGCCACCGGGGAGTCTGAGGGCAGCAGCCCTCCCTCACCTGCACTCTCCAGTGGTGGGCAGGATGCAGAGTCCTGGGGTCCGAGCCCAGCTTCTAGCTCAGAAGGTCTTTGCCCCCAAAGGCCGTCCAAGAGCAAGCTCAGGAACTGCCTGGCAGGTTCCCAGTCCCCTGGACCTTTCAGCTGGGACACGTGCCCTCTGACTGTGCAGTGCTTCTTTCTGGGGGTGGATGGACGGCTGTGCGAGGGGGAGGGAGGGAGGGAGACGGCGGTGGGGATGGGAGCAGGCGGTGTCCCGGGCAGGGCCGGCTGGGGAGCTTATTTAACGCTAAGGGATGTGCAATCTGGAGCTCAGATTTTAGCAAGGCTGACACCTTCCGCTCTCTGGGGATGTGACGCAGCCACCTTTGAATGTAAGAGGCTTGAACAGAGAACTGCAAGGAGGGGCTGAGGAGAGAGCCGTTTGCCTGGGAGGCAAAAATAACTCATTGTTTACAGCAGAAGCCGAAGCAGCTCCTCCGCTGGTGGGTGGCGTTCCCGGGGCTCCTCTTGGAGGCACATCTGGGGGGTTGCGGCAGGGTGCTCGGGCTGTGGCATCCTCTCACGCTGGCACCTGACTCCCTGGCAAGATGTTTCGGCCTTTCGAGGGCCCTCCCTTCTCCAGGGAGACAGGGCGGCTCTGTGTGGGAGGGGAGGGGAGAGGAGGGCCTCTGAGGCGGGCCACTCACTTGGCCTCGGAAATGTCACCCTCCATATTCCCTGGGCTGACGTTTACGGGGCCGTGGGCATTCCCAGGGGGCAGGAGCAGGAGGAACCGGGGCTTCGTGGCCGGTGCTTATCCCGATTCCCAGCTGATCTTCCCCTGCTGGTTGCCAGGTGTCAGGGGCCGTGTCCACTAATAATGGAGACATCAGCTGGAATCCCAGGCTCTGGGACCCTCCACCCTCAGGCCAGCCTGCTGGCGGTTCCTGGGGCCCTGGCCCTGCCCACCCCTCGCCCAGGCCCAGCTCTGCAGACACCCAGACCTCACTGGGGCTCAGGGCTGGCCCAGGCCACCCCTGTCTTCTTGTCCCTGGGCCACTCCGCTCGGCCCCTGTTTCTGTGTCCCTAACTGGAAGTGCAGCGCCGGACACTCTAGGGAAGCTCGCACAGGTTCTAGAAAGCTGAGACCCTTGCAAAGAGCAGTGTGTGTCTTCCTCTCAACTCCTGATCTGTTCTGGACCTGCCAAGAGAGGGGAAGAGAGAACGTGCAGGGAGCTTGCGAGCTCACGAAGCCGCGGTTCCCGGGAGCCGGGCCGGCCAGCGCGGGAGGTCAGGTTCCCCAAGACCAGTCCATGTCCTGGGTGCTGGAGGTCTGGGTCAGCTGCTGCCTCCGGGTGGGCGTGGCCGTGGGTTTCTGACCTGATCCCGCCCCCCTCCCCGGCCAGGCCCCGGGCGCCGGCTCTGCCTGGTGAGTCTGGGAAGCACCCACATCTGGATTCTGCAGCAGCATCTTTGACAGCTCTGGAAGCCCAGGGGAGCCCCGGTAAGAGTTTGAGGATCCAGGCAGCCCCGGGGCCCGGCCCATGGCGTGGCAGGCACCTTGCGCTTCCCCTGTGCTGGGAGTGGGCCGAGCCTTGTGCAGGCCCTGTGGTCTCGTCACCAGGGTGACCAGATTTGAGACTCAGTCACATATCCCAGTGGTCTGAGAAGCTGGGGGACCAGCCCTTGCCCTTCCCCGCTGCCCCCTGGTGTCCCAGCAGGGGTCACATACACCTGCCACCAGGAACCCAGTGACAGGGAGCCTGGGCCCCAGGATGGGCCAGGTGTGCTCCTGGTGACCTGTTACCTGGGAGGAAGTGAGAGTGGCCTGCTAAACCTGCTCTGCAGCCACTATAAATAGCCTCGGTTTCCAAGGGCAGCAGAGAGTGTTCATGCTCTGGGAGGCAGACGCTTCCGGCTGTGCGCTAGAGGGCTGGCTCTGGTGCTTCCAAGGGACACACGTGGCCCCGCCGGGGTGTCTTGGGAAGGGGGCGGGAGGAAGAAGAACCACTTTTCTTTATCCACACCCACTATGTGCCTTGGCACTGGGCCAGAGAGGCACCTGCACGTGGTCACCCTGGGAAACATGAGCCCTGTGGTGTCACATCTGAGCCCCTGGTGGGCGCGCCACTAAGAAAACACTGCCAATCTTCACGCAAGGTGCTGTGAGCGCACAGACCGCTCCTGCCCGTCCAGCAGGCCGGGGGAAGCCTGCGGGGGGCCATGGTCCTGCGTCCCTGCCTGGCAGGCGAGAACTGGCATCCTGGGGAAAGGGGCCCACATGACAGAGGGGGCAGGGCTGGGCTTCTGGCCCAGGAGTGTCCTGGACACCGTCTGCAGAGGCTGGACACCCACAGCCCCTCTGTGCCCATGCTCAGAAGGGACCCATGTCCTCTCCTCAGGCTCCTGTGCTCACCGCCTGCCCCCCTCCCAGGGGGACTGAGCTACCCGGGTGGTGGCTCCAGTCCTAGGTCTTGGGTTACCTGGGTGCCCCAGGGGGCAACTCTGGGAGAGGCCCAGGGCGGGGCCTTGTCCCATCAGCTTCCTGGGCTGTGTGACCCCGCCCCAGCCTCCTGTTCTCCAGGCTCACCGCCCCCTGTGTACCCTTCCGGACTGTAGCATCCAGGGTTCTGGGGGCAGCGGGGGAGGCCAGCAGATGCCTGTTTGTTGTGACCTTGCCCCTGCCTGCTTGGAGCCCCTGCACAGCGGGGCTGCTCCTGAGCAAAGCAGCCCCCCATTCTCCAGTGCATCCTGGAGGGGGTTCCTGGGCCTCAGCCACTAGGGGTGTCTGCTCCCTGCGCCAGCCACTGCCCAGCTCCCAGCATTCCACCCTGCTCCCCAGCACAGGCTGTTGTGGACGTGGGGCTGAGAACGGGACCAGAGAGAGCCTGTAAGGAGCTCTGGAGGAGGACAGGCCAGAGCCCAGCTTGTGTTCAGTGGCTCTGGTGTTGGGTCCTCTGCTGGCCGTACTAGGTGCTCACCGAAGGGTGCAGAACGGGCAGAAGCCTGGTGATGATGGTTCCTCAGCTTGTGCTCACACAGTCACTCAGCAAACGTCTGCCGAGTGCTCACAGATGTGGGATGCGGGGTGCTGGGGGAACCAGGCAGGGGAGATGCCCACCTGACACCAGAGTAGAGCCCAGGGCGATGAGGCATCAGGGAACCCCTGGGCTTTCTTGGCCGTCCTGCTGCCTCAGGTCCACTTAAGGGAACCCCCAGCAATCCCCTTGGACCAGAGCTGCCTCTTTAGAAATATGGGGCACCTGTGTTCATTGAGCTGCTGCCAAAAGGGCCTTAGGCAGAGCCCCAAAGGCCCCACCCACCAATGGCCACCTTGAGGTCCTGCCAGGGAGACCTGGGAGCTGCTCACTGCTGCTTTCTGGCCCCAGAAACTGTCCCAAGGCCCCGGAGAACCCTGAGTAGGTCATTCCAGACGAGAATGGGGTTGTGCGAGGCTGTGGTGAGGGAGCGGCACTGCCCAGCCCTGTTCCAGCTCTGGCCTGGGGTTTCTGGCTCAGGAACACGCGACCTCTCGGCACTTCTTGGAAGTTGTCTCCCTGTCTCCTCCAAGTCCCTGACAACATGACTCGTGCAACAATCTGTCTGTGCCTTATGAAAGCGTCTGTGCACTTTTGATCCTTTTGTAAAGCAACTTTTAACAGTGGACGGGGGCCCAGCAGACATGACAGGGTCCAGAAACCTGGGTTTGGTCACCGAGACCCGTTTACGTAGTCTTTGATATCGGAGGGAGAGCGCCTCCACCCGCCCACTCCCCAACCTGTGTACAGACCTTTTTAAGCGTCTCTGTCTCTTTCTGATTCAATACTGTGACCTCTCCATATGGTCTACACTTTGGGGAACTGAAATAAAGTTTTAAAACTTGGGGGAGTGGGTTGGGAAGGGTTTGCACTGGTCTTTGTGTTTTTGTGTGTTGTGTGTTCTGATTTTTGTGTGTTTTTATGTTTTATATTAACATAATTTTCTTGTTTGAAAAACAAATACAACTTTGGCTTAAGAAAAAAAGAAGGGTCTTCAGAACTCAATTCTAAAAACTGCGCTCACATGTGGTGTTGCGGGGGGGACCCAGATCACCACCAGCCTTAAACTGTGCAGCCTTTAACCCCTTTGCCAAGTAAATCACTTGTGCTGCAAGGAAATAAGTCTAATCGGGGATAAGTTCTATGTGTAAAGATGTTCATTGCAGCATTATTTATAATGTAGAAAACTAAGAAACTCATGTTCAACAAAGCATGGCAAATCCCCACCCCTCCTGAAACTCTTGGTCACAGTGACAGAAAGCCAACAGCAAGGATAAAGGTGATAACAGACATAACTTAAAAATCTAGCAGCGGATCCCACTTCAGGTGCAGGTGGATCAAGCATTTGAAATGCTGTCTCGGGACCAGCTCTCTGCCCTCTGCTCTGGCCCCATTCCCACAGGTTCCCAAGATGGTGGCCTGCAGGCCTAGCCCACATCCTGCCATTGATCATTGCTCCAGAGACCAATGGGGATCACAGGTCCCTTCCTGAACCAATTCCTGATGCCAGGGATATAGGCATCAGGACGTTCACTCACCCACATCCAATAGCTGTCCCAGTCCCAGTTCTGAGACCTGAAAGGGGACAGTCCTTCTCCAGGGAAAGCTGGAGCCACACAGGGTACCCCCCAGCAGGTGACCACAGCCGGCACGTGCTCAAGAAGACGGAGGAAAACACAGCCACCAGGCAGCATTGCCTAGCTCGGGTGGCCTGAGCGCGACCTGAGTGGCACTCCACCTGCTGAGCCCCGGTTCCTCACCTGCAGGGGAACCCTGGCCTCGCGGTTGGCGTGAGCCTTGTTGGGCGGGGCACCAGCCAGCTGGGGTCTGCCCTGGGCTTGTGTGCACGTCCAGGTGGGGAATCGGAAGGCAAGCTGCA